CCTCTGATCGATTCGCCACCTGGTTCCATCCTCAAGCAATTGATGAGGCCCAACAAGCCGCATTCCGAATCTTTCTCGCTGACTAAAATTATTTTCACAGCGTTTTTAACTCATTCTCCGCGTTCAAGATCGATTTAAGCTGCTCTAACCAAGAGAACTCATAATTGTTTACGTGAATAACTTCAGTTTTCCTCGTCGACTGTTCTCTCTTCTTTAACAGTATAATGTGCTCTTTCTGCGTGCGTTTCTCAAGTACTACTGCTAAATTGTACTTTTCGGCAGTCGCAATGTCGTCTTTCGTGAAGGACTGTTCTCGTGTCAATAAAAATCCATTGTTTTGTAACACCGGCAAAATTTCTTTTAAGGTCTTGCTCCTGTTCTTCGTGAACAAATTGTATCCTGTGATTAATATCGCATTATCGTCATTCGGCAACTTCTTCGATTGCGAAATTGTGATTTTTGAAGGAAGAGTAACGCAATCGAAGCGATCGGTTCTGCTCACCAGAGTAATGTTTGGTTGAAGCGACGGTAGATCATTCAAGATATCGATAAACAATGTTGATGCTATTTCATCTGTTTCTACTTTGTCATCATCTTCGATCAACTCGATAATATTTACTTTTATCACTTGATGATATTCCAGAGCAAGATGCGTCGACAGCATCACGCCTTCCCGCCATGAAACCTCGGCTCCGTCGCGATGAGCTATGAATCTGTACTCCTCGAGAACGGGCTCTTCCGCTGGCTTTCGACGAATTATGGAAGTAGCTTTGATTCCGCGAATTTCCACACCGCCGGATACTACCGCGTTGTAGGTTTTGTACACACGCACAGGAAACTCTAAAATAATATTTATAAATATTATATTTTTCTATGCTCAAACTTCATATACGTTAAACAAATTTCTTTATTTGAATATTAGTCACAATATTTAAAGTTTCATTAAAAAATTAATACTAAAAAGCTGTTAGAAAGAAAATAAGTCGACAAACTTACGATAATCGTTAGCTGCTGCGTTCCGTATTTGCTGTATGTGAAGTTTCGTATCGATTACCAACTTTTGTATTTCCGTGGGAACGTGAAGACTCTTCGTGTCTATCCCGAGGATTTTCATTTGCAGCATATTATCCATAAATGTTACCCAATTGTACATCCAAGCTATGTGCCCTTGTTTTCCCGTAGTCGACGAACTCTTCAAACCCGAAATATGCCGGCGTATTGATATCCGCGTAGTCTGAGTTCCTTGTAGATATCTTTTGTGTTCATTACTTCCTCCT